ATTACCTCACATCAGTGTTTGACCTCATTATTGCTCTTGTGGCGATTGGAGCAAATCCCTGCATGTTCCAAAATCCAGTGGACAGCCTTCAAAAAGGATGGAGTTTGTTACAGCGCCAGGTCGATGGGATCGATGGACACGTTTAACCATGAGGAAAAGGTGGCTTGTCCACATACTTCGGACAGCGTATCCGCACTGTGTATTAAACAGCAAAGGGAACAGCATAATACCATTGAACAATGCACATCATGATTATTCCAAACACTCTATCATATTATGCAAATTAAAAAGGTAATTTGATGATGAACATGGGCTGATTGAGAATAGGGCTCACGTGCCTGCTGGAACCAAATTGATTAGCTTGCTCATAAAGAGCTGCAGTGGAGTTTTTCTATTCATAACCTGCAGTCAAGCCCCATGTGGCTTAGCATTACTAAAGCCATTAGTCTCTCTCACACACACACACACACACACACACACACACACACACACACACACACACACACACACACACACACACACACACACACACACACACACACACACACACACACTTTCACAAAGTAGAACACACGCATGCCGATACTCAGGCATCATTTGGAAGTCAAACAGTGAATGACCTCTATACTGGGAAAAGTTATTTAACAGGTTGCAACCTGGTGTGAGTGTGTGTGTGTGTGTGTGTGTGTGTGTGTGTGTGTGTGTGTGTATGTGCATGCGTGTGTGTGTGTGTGTGTGTGTGTGTGTGTGTGTGAGTCCTACTACATGCACACCAGTTTTGCAGAATTGTTCCCTGTGTGAGGGTGTGTAGCCCAGTGTGTCAGGCAGGGTGATGAAGAGACCCTCTTACAGCTTTCATCAAAGATAAGCGGGCCATCACACACACACACACACACACACACACACACACACACACACACACACACACACACACACACACACACACACACACACACATACACACACACACACACACACACACACACACACACACACACACACACACACATACACACACACGAGGTCTGGATGGCAGTGAGTGATGAAGACTTTAGGGCCCAATCACAGAGAACAGAACATGTGTAGAGGATGTGTGTGACACAGGTAGGACCCACACAGGACATCTCTCTTTACTGCCCCCCCCCGCCCCCCCTCTCTCTGTGTCAAAAGTGTGTGAGGGGCCTTATAGGAGGACAGGACTCCTCTGTCCCTGCAGCGTGTTGACCACAGCTGATCGATGACTGGTCTGATTGTGGCTCGTTCTGCGGGGCTTTGCACTTGGATTGTGAGGTAAGGTCTCAGTATGAACAGTGTAACAGTAGGGTCTGCTACGGGTTCCCAAATGTTGCCATGTCAAGGACCCCCATATAGCATTATCCTCTGGCGGGGACCCCCCTGTTGCAAATTATTTTTTAAATGATGTGTACAAGTGCCTCGCGATGGAGTGCGTTGCGTTGCCACTACATTTGGGGCCTTCTGCCTGATCAAAGCTGTCACTCCGCTTTCTTTGCCTGTCATAGCCCCTCTGCCCCATCTGAACACACACCCACACAACGAGACCAGTCAAGTCCATTTGAGATGATGTACTCATCTAAAACTTGGAAATGTGGTCCCACCTTCCAGTGCTTTGCATAATAATATTTCCTCAACAAAGTTGTCTTCTGAAATAAATCTGATGTATGCAAGCAATTCTGCGACATTTGCTACATCCGTGCTCTCATCCAGCTGCAGAGCGAAACATTCACTAGCTCTCACTTGCTCCAACAAGCCGTTTAGGACAGAGAGTGAATACACAGACTATACAGAGATGCTCTGTGAGAAACCAATGTGAGTTTGGAACATTGAACAATGTGAATCTATTCTAGTAGACCTCAACAATGGAACTATGATCAGTAGAAATGGCCATGACATGGGACCTTTACATTTATTATTTTTCAGTTTGGGAGGGTTACTTTAAAAATGTAATCTGTTCAAATGACTGATTACCTGAGGAAATATGTCATCAGTAACATAATCTGAGTATCACATTATAAAGTAATGTGACTTAATTACTTTCTGTTACTTTTGGATGATGTCAAATGCAATGCAAATAAATGCAATGAGAAAATACATATCAATATGATGTTTTTTACTAAAGCGTATTTTGTAAGACAACAGACCAATGTGACCATGGAAAAGAAGAAACCAATATATTTAGTATGAAAAAGTTGTCATCTAAATAAATGGCCAAGTGTAATAGATGTATTTAAAGCAAACAAAGTATTTTTGTATAATAAATCAGGTAATCACCCACTGCAACATTATCATTAAAGGACAGTAGCCTAAATGAAAACCAAAAAGAAAATGCAGACACTACTTCTCCCTATAATATATTGATCTTTATTGTAAGATGTACTGTAACATTGTAATACTGCTAATCCCCATCTTTTAAATATGTAACAGCCATCTGATGACTTATTTGATGTATGTAACTGTAAGCTGCATTCTTTAGTCTCCTGAT